CTTTGGTCCTTTTATCCTTTATCTCAGTGGATAATGACATCTTATATTTCTTTCCTTTTTCTTCTCTCTCCCAATGAAATTTGAATTTGATTTTGAATAGTCTATTATTGAATAAACAAGAGATTGTAAGTTTAGAGCTGTGATAATTCAGTGCATATCTTTCATTTAGCAAAACCTGTAAGGTAACTGCCATTGTTAGCTATTTTGCTTTGAGTTAACTCTACAAGATATTGATATTTTAGCTCATGAATATTCATAGGTTTATTAGATATTTTATCTGGAGATATGCAAAAGGGTATTAAGATTCAGACAAAGCATTTGGAGGCCTTGATTGAATTACACAACATGACTGGCACTTTTGCAAGGAATATTCAGCACTTATTTTCTGGTTCTGATGTTCGCGTTTTAATGGATGTGCTGAAAGCTGTGTACTTGCCTTATGAATCATTTAAACAGAGGTAAAAGCTTACTATAATTTTGTGAAGATTTCCTACATTGACTAGGAATAGAGTAGAGTTAGAATACTCATTAGAAGGTCTAGGGTAGTCTTCTATGAACTAACTTTTGGGAATGAGTTTGGTCAAATTTCTTAACATGATATTAGAGCCTATTCAGTTTGAATGTTGGGCTACCCACAAATGTCTAGTTCTATTGGGCCATCCATGTAGATTTTCAGTCCTGCAAATTTCACACACTATATGTCCAATCTTGAGTGTGAGGGAGGTATGTTAAGATGCTCCACATAAGTTAGGAGTAGAGCTAGGATACTCTTTATAAGGGTGAGTAGTCGTCCTCCTATGAGCTAGCTTTGGGAGCGGATTAGACTCAAGTTTCTTAACAAATTTAAATCATAATTGAAAAAAAAAATGATTAAGTTTGTTTGATGTATGGCTTCATTATTATGGAAGACATGGGTGGGTCTGTGGGAGAGAATGTTAACTTCATATCTCATAATTGTGTGTCAAAGTCTAGAAAAATAAAATAAGAATAGAAAGATAAGTGTTAATAAACCACTGGCCGTTTTGGTCGGTCTTTTGGTTTGTTAACTTCATATCTCAGAATGTTAACGTGAATTGCGATGCACGTTATTCTTGTATAGATATATGTATAAAATCCTTTTCCAATTATTAGAAATACCTTTGTTTTCCCTTATTTTATCTTTTATTGAGCATATCCAATAGGTATGGACAAATGGAGCGTGCCATCCTTTCATCTGAGATTGCTGGAGTAGATTTAAGAGGAGCTGTTATTCGAGGGGTGGGAGCCCAAGGTGTTGAACTTAGCGAAACAGTTCGCAGGATGGAGGAGTCTATTCCGCAAATTATTATTCTTTTTGAAGCAGCTGCTGAGAGATGCATCAGCTTCACTGGAGGTTCCGAGGCAGATGAATTAATTCTTGCCCTTGATGACATTATGTTACAATACATTTCCACTCTGCAAGAAACTCTCAAGTCACTAAGAACTGTCTGTGGTGTGGATTATGGTGGTGACGGTACTGTAAAGAAGGAGATGGAGAAAAAAGACGGAAACCAAAGTTCTCGGAGAGTTGATTTGCTCTCAAATGAGGAGGAATGGTCCATAGTCCAAGGGGCATTGCAGATCCTGACAGTTGCAGATAGTTTGACAAGCAGGTCTTCTGTCTTCGAAGCATCTTTAAGAGCTACTCTTGCTAGATTGAGCACAACCCTATCTTTTTCTGCATTCGGTTCAAGTTTAGACCAAAACCAGACTATAAATAGTGGTGTAGATGGGGAGCTGTCTTTTGGTGGAAGGGCTGCTTTGGATATGGCAACATTGCGGTTGGTTGATGTGCCTGAGAAGGCAAGGAAACTATTCAACCTTTTGAATCAGGTACATATAAGATTAGCTTTATTGTAGTCTCATTTTCTCTTTTTATTTTTATTTTGGTTTAGACATAGATAAAAGTGATAGTGGGCACTGGGTAGATTTTAAATATTGAGATCGGGAGGAGCCTTAAAGATATAACCCAATCCTTTTAAGTTTTAACATGCTGTCTTTTAATCTTCCTTTCGCCCTCCTTGCAGTGTATTGGAATGTGCCCCTACCCCTACAATGCTAATTATTGACATCGATAAATATTATAATTTGAGAAATCAAATAAGCAGGAGTTGGAAGTAAATTAGAGTTTTTATGGAATTGGTGTCTTGCAATGGCCATTTTAATCTGTCTTCTTTGTTTTTCGTCTGTCCTTTGTCAATATGAATCTACCTTAATTTGTCTGAAAAAGGAGGTGAAAAAGCATTTATTCTTCTATTGCCTTTAAAGAGAATCACATGCTTTTCCTGCTAAAAAGAATAGCAAAAAGAAAAGGAAAACATTTTCTTTCATTAGTTCTTTGCTGTAGTCAGAAAATGGTTGTTAATGCATGTTAAAGCACAATTAAAAATTTATGCTGATGGTTTTCAAACGAAATTGACCCTACTTATTGAAAAAATAAATGTGATTTTATTTCTAAATTAATCGCTTTTTAAGATGACAAGATTGCCTTGGTGTTCCTTTTGCTATGTGCTGACATACTTTGTCATATCACTTCAGAGTTTTTATGCCCTTTTGTTCTCCGGAATTACATAAATATCTCACTTTTTTTGCAGTCCAAAGATCCCCGGTTTCATGCACTTCCCCTTGCATCTCAAAGAGTTGCAGCATTTGCAGACACAGTTAATGAACTTGTATATGATGTCCTCATATCTAAAGTACGGCAGCGCCTCAGTGATGTGTCCCGTTTGCCAATATGGTCATCAGTTGAGGAACAAGGAGCTTTTCCTCTCCCTACGTTCAGTGCATATCCACAGTCCTATGTCACCAGTGTTGGGGAATATCTTCTTACTTTACCCCAACAATTGGAGCCACTTGCTGAGGGAATCTCCAACAGTGAAACCAATGATGAAGCACAGTTCTTTGCAACTGAATGGATGTTCAAGGTAACCCATAAAATAAAGGAAGATCAAAAGTTAGGCAGAGTCAATTTTCCATTTTGTCTCGTGTAGTGAGTCATTTATCATCTTTTCCTTCAATTTGGTCTGATTGGTTCAGCATGAAGCTAATATATTTTACACAGCATAAACTTGGTTTCTTCCATTATACAGATATCTGTTCTCAACTCGACTAGCTTAGAAACGAAGAATTTTCTTTTCTGACAGGGCAGTGAAAACTTATCTCCAAAAGTAATGATACTGGACTAGGTCTTTTAGTTTCCCAACTTAGGTGCATGGATGAGATGAATGTATATTGGCTTGTGCATAAAATAAGGATTATTCAATATTCAATAATGATACTGGACTAGGTCTTTTCTGTTTGCACATATGAAGTGCTGACTAATGACTCAAACGATGTCTGGTGATTGTGTTAAATTTTAGGTTGCGGAGGGTGCCACAGCACTTTACATCGAACAGTTGCGTGGGATTCAATACATTTCAGATCGTGGAGCGCAGCAGCTATCAGTTGATATCGAGTATCTTAGTAATGTGCTTTCCGCTCTGTCAATGCCAATCCCCCCAGTTTTGGCTACTTTCCAAAGTTGTCTTTCTACTCCAAGAAACCAGCTTAAAGATCTTTTGAAGATAGATTCAGCAAACCAACTTGATCTGCCAACAGCAAACCTTGTCTGTAAGATGCGGCGAGTAAATTTAGATTCATGAATGGTTCCTTTCCAACTTCGTGCATTTGAGCCTGTTTCGCTCCCTCCCACTTCCCGGATGACATGTTTTTGGCTTCCAGAGGACACTCCTTTACATCGGCAATGGCCACTTGCTGTTTTGTCATTGGTGTGCATACCTACTTGCATATTTAATTTGTAACTAGTTACAAAGGGCATACCTGTTTATTAGCTTTGGTTTATCGGAGAGGAGAAAGATTAGTCTGCTAGCATTCAATGTATATTATTGCTTTATTTCTTCCCTGCTAGTGCATTTACGCTTGAAGGCACTGCACAAAGATGCAGTTATTGCGTGAATGTAAATCTTCCATATCTTATCATCACTATTGAATTTTATATGCAAACGTTTAATTTTGTTCAAATAGTTTAACAAACTCATTTTAATTTAAAAATTATAAATATTATTCTATGAGAAAAATTAAAGTATTCAAATACTAAAACGCCAAATTACAAACTTTTTGGGTAAATACTAGAGGCAGCCCGAAAGTCTGATATTTTCATGCGACAAGATCATATATATATATATATATATATATATATATATATATATATATATATATATTCTTAAAAGATTTAAATTCTCCCATTTTGAAACCTTACACTGCTTTTTACAAAGCATTAAATTTCATTAAAATTTTTAAACCGAAACTTTTAAATTAGTTTTTATTTCAAATTAATCTCCCAAATACACGAGTCTAAAATAAAGATTTAAGAATCATTTTAGTTTTTAGTCTTCGACTTTAACTAATCTATGTTAAATTAAGAAGCTGATTTATGATTGCAACAATTAAAATAAATAAGAAGCAAAATTACGCAAACAAAAAAAAAAGGCAAACAAACAGATAAATATTGTACGATAAAAAATAATAATAAAATTGAAATACAATATAGAAAAATACAATCTTGTAGTCTTTAAACGATTATATTGATGTGTTCAAAAACAAATGAAAGTGGGAAAAAAATCAGAAATCTTAGAAGAATTATTTAAGACTGCATATTAACTCTGCACAGTGAAAAGGATGATGGCTGCACAAACAAGAGGACGGTATAAGCAAAATAAGAAAAAACAAAATCAATCCGTCGGGAGAAGTGAAAGATGATGGATACCCAAATTAAGCGATGGATAAGCTATTGTACTCGCAAATTCTTTAACCTAAAAACATTACTTTAAGACTGCTACCGATTGAATCTTTTGAATAAAATTTTCAGCACTTATTGGAAAATTCCAAATTATTTAAAGTTAAAGATTTTTTAAAATAATAAATTACAAAATAAGAACTTCAACTTCTTAAGAAGAAACCAACCACAAAAGGATATCGAAAAATGTTAAGAAAAGTACATTGAATCATCGAGCCTTCCTATATTCGTCGAAAGGCAATTAAAAATAATAATAAAACTTCATTTTCACATTTGTCTTATCAATCATTTCATGGCTTACACTTTGTGGCTACAAAAAGCCAGCTTAAGCACGAGGGGAAGAAACAGGAGTAAGAGAAAAACGAATCACGCAAAGCTGAGTCATGGCTCCAAAGTCGCTCATTTTATTTGCTTGAAACGTTACAATCTTTAAGGCTGAATGTTCATAGTATGCATGATCACTCCTAGGTTAGTCAAGGAATTGACTGCCAGTTGAACAGTAAAAAAAGTCACATATTCCAGATATCATAAGAATAAGCTTAATTTTCATTTTGCCCCCGTTTCTTCTAACAAGAGGCGATTTATTTCCTGCACATATCACGTCCAGAAACAACCTAGCCATCCAGAAGATCACAAGGACATTTGTGTTCCTGAACACCAAATTAACACTCTTATCCATAAAGTAAGGTGTAGGTGTTTGTTCACAAAAGCAGACATCCTGCATCCCAGTTCAACAATAGTTTTTCAAGCAAAAGGTAACATTTCCGCTATAGAATAACTTGGCAAAGACAACCAAATACCTGTATTTGCCAGTCCTCTGAATTTCTACTCAAATAGTACTTTTGTAAATCAAGTATTATTTTTATAGAGGGTGTATTTCACCATTCTGTAAGTTCCATTCCAAACCAGTTCCGAATTGGTGAAAGTAATTGTTTACATATAGTTGAAGACTATGCACTTATCTTTTCCCCAATGAATACCCATATGGAGAACGACATCAGGAAACTAGGGAATAAACATTATTTCTCCATTCAGCATATGATCATATCAGATGATATCATATACCAAATATATTATAAATACGATGCCATGGATTTGGGAGATAATTAGCAACAGATTTAGTAAGTTTACCTATATCTTCTAAACTGGTCCCAGCAGAATGTAGTTCAATGTCAAATTCATGTCAGAATAAGCAGCATTTTTTAAACCTGTGCTGGTTTATATCAACTTAAAGAGAAAAAGGTAATGAAACAAAAGAGAAAGGGGAAACAAAAAACAAGAATTCCTACGATGAGCAAATATCAATCTATTCGTCTCAGAGTATAAGATTCACATGTTACCTCAATACAAGAGAAAACCAGCCCCCTCGGCAGCAATGACAATCATTCATGTAATTTTGTCTGACATCTTAAATCAATCAATTGATTTCCAGAAATTGCGTGTAAAGAAAGACTACACACAATGCTTCAGTGATGAATCATCATAAATAACTTAAATCAAGGTGCAAAACAAATTGTAATAAAAGTTACAACAGTGAAATACCTACCTCAACCCTTTTTCTCCATTAATAATATTGATGAAAGGGAGATTGTATAGTCTCAACAAAGCTCTGAGATGGGAAAAAAGTAAATTCACCCTTGATGATGAGAAAACTCAAGACTCCAAAAGCACATATTTATGCAAGTCTTGGGATATTAAAATCTACCTCTTTAAATTCAAATTCTGACATCTATCAAGAAATTCCACTAATTTGAGGAAACTGGACTTCAAGAAGACCTTCTGTAGCTATGCTTAACAGGGGAGCGTGATCTGCTCCGATCACGGTACCTGTCTCTGCCTCCATTTCTTCCATTCCTCAACCTAGAATCCATCCCCCTTCCTCCATCTCGATAACCTCTAACATCATGCTCCCGAGACCTTTCACGATCTGAGTCTCTGTCTCTATACCTATCCCTCTCCCTATCATAATCTTTATCACGGTGCTTCTCCCTATCACTTGAATCACTTCGTCTCCTTTTCTCATGCTCTTTTTCCCTCCGTTTCCTTCGCTCTTCTGCCTCCCTTTCCCGAGCTGATCGTTCCTCTTCATTAGCCTTCTCCTTAGCAGTCTGAGAAATGGTACCAACTTATATCAAGAAATACTTTATAAAAAATTTAGATTGTAAGTTAGTTCAGGACAACCAAACTCACCTTATACTCATTTATGAAGTCACGAACCATGCCATAACCAACATGCTGCTTTCCAGTGACATGAGATTGAGTCCTTTCTGCTGCATCATTTGCCACAAGAAAAGAACCACAGATTTCACAGAGTGCCATCTTCTTCTCCTGACCAAGCATCAATGCTTTATCATTTTGAGGTTGTGTTAAGGCTGTCTTTTCAGCATTAAGTGTCTCCACCTGTAAGTAACACCCCCCCCCCCACACACACACAACAAAAAAAAAAAAATGTGAATCTCAAGCCAAAGGTTCCTCAGAGTTCAGGCGTAGATAAATCTTAATAAATCATCAATATTATATGCAAAGGTAGAAAGATATTGTGTCATCTTTGGGGCACCTTTCTCATAAGAGCTTCAGCTTCATCAACCTTCCCAGCTTCACCAAGAGATTCAACTTGTTCCAGGAGGTTCTTTATTTTCTCCTCCAGCACAGAGAGCTGTTCAGATTTTTCAGCTGTTAGTGGTGGTGGTGGTGCTGGCTCCACCTCTTGAGCAAGACGTTCTCGCCCTCGTCTTACTCTTCTATCCAAGTCCATCACCTGTGATTATTACCATGAAGAGTGATGATTCATCAACATACCAACAAGAGTAAATACCTTTGAGGGTTGGAGACTGTCAACAGGTTGGTGGCCACCTACCAATTTCTCACAAAATTGAGCAAGTTCGGCTTCAAATTTGGGTACATATGCATCATGTCTTGGAGATTTCTCAAAACTGAAGTCACCAATACAATAAAACCCATTAAATCTAAAACTCAATTATATGATTATGGAATAATCGAAAACGTAATGAGACTTGTTCTTTCATTTAAGAATATCTTGTTTATCAAATGTAAATATATTTTATTTGTCATACATCAATATCATATTTGAAAAAGTAAAATCTAAGAGCGGTAGTAAACATGCATACGGAAGCAGCTTACAGTACATCTATGTTGACCTAATGATCATATCATCATAGGCATATCTTATTATCAAATGTACACATATGACAAAGTAAAATCTGCAAAGGATAGTAGTGCAATTGTGAAGAGAAGCAACATCAGTAAGGCGTATATTGAACAGACGACCATAGCACCAATTGAAAATGGTAATATAAACTGAAACAGGTTAAATTTACGGTGAAATTTACAAGCAACACAACATTAAACCAACTTAATCATATAAAGAGAGGACAAACACTAAATTTTCATAATAGGAGCACATGGAATGGAAATTAAAAAACGAAATCACATCTTCATGTAGGCATGCCTAACAATCAGAAAAGTAATAGTTTTCACTGATTTATTCAGGTATAACCACGACGAGATTAAAGAAGTTGCATACAGCTCATCATTAGAATCTTATACTGTTCATTTACAAAAACCTACATTATATATTAATAAATTTGCTTGTTCACCTTTCTTTCAACTTCTGGTCATGTATTCTCGGGCAAGGTCCTGCATCAGTTTAACAAACATTAAAAAGAAGGGGGAGAATATCAACTTAAACCACAGGTATCATAATAAAGAAGACCCATACAGTTGCCCAGGAAATTGAGATACATTATAGTACCTTCCACAGTACAAATTTCTTATGAATTCATCGACTATTATGATGCACACATACAATTCGTGTATTGTATACGATACATGTAGTATAGATATCTAGATATGTATAAAGCATAATAAATATACAATTGCAGACATTACTATAAACAAATAAAAATCATAAATCAAAGTCATCATAAATCACAAATTTTTGCCTATACACAGGTAGTATCGATTTCCTTCTTAAGCACCATCCATAAAGAGGACAGTATTCATTTTTGGTTCGTCAAGAGACCATACTTCTATGTTTCTAATTCATAGATCCTTTTGTGTCTCCTATCTGGTTGCATTATATTTTCATGACCTTTTCAAAAGGCTTGGATACTTCACAGATACGTATTGGTGAAGTATCTGAGAGTGTTGGAATCCAAAACTTATCCGAGAGAGAATATAAATATCAGTGCTTCATAGCTAACCTCAGTAAAACAAAACCCTCTAAAATCATTCCATTACTTATATACCTTTCTAAATTCCCAGAAAGTAAAATCTAATACAGGAAGTAACAGGATATAGTTGAATTGAAAGGACAAGACAAAGAATTGAAATAATGATAGAATTGATGAATTAATTGAAGTAGGAAAACGCACCGAGATCACTGCGCGTGTTGACAAAGAGATCGTGAGGGCAAAAGCGCACCATGTAGAATCCACACACTTCCTTATCGTCCCAAGTCACTTCCTTGTAACCCTTTCTCTCTTCCTCCGTCAAGTTGCGTGCTAAGAAATTCACCAAAGTAAGAACAATTTCATCAATTTTGGATTTAATCAAGTAACAATGAGAATGTGTAAAAAGGTAGGTACCTGCACCCATGAGTTCATCGAGAAGAGCTCTCTGAGCATCCATGATGAAATGAAGAGAAGAAAAACCCTAATTCAAATCAATTACTCTCGAAATTGGAAAGTGAGAGAGTAGAGAAGAAAGGATTACGAATTTGGCTTATAGGGTAGGGTTTGTCGCGGAACAAAGTGATTAAGATTATGTTTCGTGAACCCCAGTTAAATGGCAAGTAACCACTTTCCTCTATTTTCTTCCTCCTCTTTTTATTTTTAGTTTATTTTTCCTTCTAAAATATTTATCAATTTACCAAAAAATTCTACACACTCGTGGAATTGATTAACGAATCGTTATTTTAAAATTGATAAAATTTTACAGTAGTGAGAGAGTTTAGTATCATCTCTTATTCATAAAACATTTCTGACATTAAAAAAATATAAAGACACAAAATTAGTATAAAATAGTTATCAAAATTTGAATGGAATTTATAAAATAATAAATAAGAATTTTGACAGAAATTAAACATAGTTCTGTTTGTGTAGTTTTTGTTGGTCAATTTGTGCATCTAATTTTCGTACTATCCAGTATTTGTGAAAAAATTATACATATTAAAATTTATAAAAAAATATTAATCATATTTTTTATTTTTAAATTAGTGCTTTTACAATATTGATTAATATTTAATTTTTTAAAAAAGTAGTCAGTGCTGATGTGTAAAGTTAATATATAAAGCAATAAAGATATATAATTTTTCAATTAAAATAATGAAAGTATAGTTAATATAAGAAATCAATGTAACCATAATATTTATGAGTTGTGACCAATTAAATTAGATTATGTGTATCTAGTAGGAGTTATGAGTTATAAGAATCAATTTTAAATGTAAATTCATACATAAATACTTAAAATTATTTATTTTAATTTTGACTATCATTTAAAATTATATGATTTAAATTAACTTTTCCTAAAAAATTGTCTTACCTACCGTTGGTACCCATCAAATGAATACAGAAATGAGTGGTTAACCCAAAAGTAAAATAAAATAAAATTGTGAGTATGAAAGCACGTGCATATACGGATAGTATTTAATTTGCTTCAAAACTACATTCACTAACACGTTTATTTATTATGCTTTATAATTTAAATAAAATTGATGTTTTATTCGGATAGATGTGTTTGATATTTTTTAATCTTTTTAAATTTTTATAATTAATCTTAATTTTAAAATAAATATAATTATTTTTCTTGTTAGCAAAAAAATCTAATAAATTTTTAAGAAGTTATATATAGTAATTTTTATTAAAAATTATAATATTTAATGATATTAATGTATTGACTTTTATAATTTTTAATAAAAATATTTATATATAACTTTTGTTCATATATAATATTATATACGTTAAAATTATTTTGATAAAATATGGCTATGCGAGTGTGAATAGGCATATAATTATTGAATACATTGTCACTTTTCGAATATAAATTTAAATTCAAGTATTTCTTTTTAACTACATGCTACATCTTATCCAAAGCATACTCATAATAATTCTTTGTTGTTTTGATTTTAGGGGTAAACATGTCATTACAAAAAGATTAGTATTCTGGTTAGACTGTGAGGTTACAAAACAAAGAAGCCAATGTTCCATTCCAAATCAAATTAAAGCGTACCCCTTTTGAGAAACAATATTTTCTGAATAGAGACAAATCATCCCCAAGACATTTTCTCCTCACAACAAAAAATGAATCGTAACACATAGCCAAAAGCAAAAAATAAAAACAAAACAAAACCAAGTGTCTTATTAGATATGCTCCAAAATTTCAATGACACAAAAAAAATGAATGGTTGTTGTATGAAGTAAAACAAGGTTTAGCCACAAGCTTCTCTTATCCAAAAACCAGCTTGTGTGACCCCAGTGGTTTAACATTTCTAAATATTGCAGCTAGCTATAGCTCACACCATCATCGTCTACTCACTTCATGAACATAGCCACACCCATATTCCTCCAAGCATGAATGACAGAGTAGACAAGTTGGTCATCTTTCTAGCAAAGAGAGATGGTATTGACAAGCTTGTGAAGACCTTTCAATATGTGTCAAAGCTTGTAAACTGGCACGTGGAAGCCACTAATCCTGCCATGGCAAAGAGGTTCAAGCAATGGGAAGTGGCCTCAGGCCTTAGCAGGAAAGCCTTCAGAACTGGAAGGTTTCTCACTGGGTTCAATGTTCTTAGGAGAAATCCAGGTTCTACCCTTTCTTTAAGGCTACTAGCAGTGCTTGCTAATGCAGGAGAAATGGTCTATTTCTTCTTTGACCACTTTCTTTGGTTAGCAAGAATTGGCACCTTGGATGCTAGCTTAGCAAAGAAGATGAGCTTCATATCCGCATTTGGTGAGTCTGTGGGTTATGTTTTCTTCATTATAGCTGATTTCATTGTGTTGAGAGAAGGATTAAAGGAAGAGAGAAAGCTGAGAAGCTCTAAGGAAAAATCAGTGGAAGAAGAGAAAGGGATTCAGAAGATAAGGGGTGATAGAATAATGAGGCTAATGGCAGTGGCAGCTAATGTTGCAGATTTGTTCATAGCTATAGCGGAGATTGAACCAAACCCCTTCTGCAATCACACTGTTACTCTTGGTATTAGTGGGTTGGTTTCTGCTTGGGCTGGTTGGTATAGAAATTGGCCTTCATAAAACTTTTTCCAAGAGCATACTGTAATTTTTTACGTCTAATTATTTATGCTTAATTAATATTTCAATCGTGTCTTCCTCATAAACTCTTACGTAGTTTTTTCTTGTCATCTTACATACAATTCAATAATTATAAACGTATACATAAGATGCCAATGTTTCTTATGGACGCAACTTTGTTATCTTTTGATAAAGCCAATTTTAGTTCTAATCGGAGGGGGAATTGGTTCAATAGCATTGCACCACCAGATTAGGCTGGACCCCATATATACAGCCTATAAAAAATATTCTTTAATTAATTAATTAATATTAACTTTCATAATAAATTTATTAATTATCAACTGTCAATTATTTTTTTCACCAAATATAAAATACTAATTTTTTTCAGGACACAAAAATTATTGAACTTTTATTCTGTCGACATTTTTTATACGTAAAAATGGCTTGTATGAAACCCACTACGAAATACTGTTAACAGCATTCTAGCTGCAAGTCAGACAGGAATAGTATGATTTAGAAAAATAATTAAAATATATATTTAGTCTCTATAATTATACTTATTTATATTTTATTTATTGTATCTTAAAAAAATTATTTTAGTTTCTATACGAATATTTAAAAGTTATTATTTGATGAGTTACAAATTTTTGTAACTAAAAGAACTAAAATATAATAAAATATTTATATTAAAATTAAAATATAAAATTTTAAATGACTAAATAATATTAAAAAAATTACCTCACTTATTTCAAATTAAAAAAAAAACTTCGCTTTCTTTCTTGACACTGCACTTTATATGACTTGGTAAAACTTGTAGTCTACCATGCCATCGTTAGGCATCAACCGAATCGACTAGAAGTTAGAATTTTCCTGTGGAAAAGGTGTGATGTGCTAAAAATTTGTCAAATGAGTTGACGTAAAACAAATATTAATATAGAAAACATTGGGGTAATAAAACGCGTGTAAAAACCAAAACTAAAAAGGCAAACTAATAACTATTTAAAAGAATATTTCCCCAAAAATGTAACCTTGATAAATTTAACTGGCGACAAAAGAAACGCATAGCATAAGGCGGTTGACTCAGGTAAGCAGCGTTGCAACGCTGGTTTCTTTGGAAGATCAGCGACAACACAAAGCTCAACGCAGGAAACTCGCAATTCTTTAGATCTTGTAAGATTTCCTTTACTTCTTTTCTTCGACTTTCTCGGCATCCAAACAGATTGTGTTGATAATCGTTGAATTGGACAGATGGAAGAAAGGAAGCAATCGCGTTACGTGAAGCTCACTAAAGATCAGTCCCCCCTCGAAGATATCACTCCTGGCGAACTCAATCAGCCAATTGAGGTTCCTCAGGTAACCTTCCATTTCTGCATTTCCTTTCCCCGAATTTTAGATGCATAGATAGATATATCTGAAGGAGCCTTAACCTAATTCCACTTTTTCTGTAAGTGAAGAAAGCAACATAGGGGGATCAAAATTGTGTGCTAGTTTGTAGTTGCTGAGATCGACTGTGTCAAGTGGCAAAGATCCACTTTACTTTGAGGCCTCAAACATATAAAAGCCTTGATTCGCTGCTCACCATTGTTACCTTGTTCTGAAAATTTATTCGATTATGATAATGTGAATGTGAGTCGGTGTATCACATTGTTGATTCTCAATTTGCTAGCTGGCTGGCATGAAATTGAATCTATGAAGCATATGGAGACAGAATAATATAAATTGGTTGCTGAAAGTATTACTGTTTTTGCACCTTCTTGCCTGTCAATTAGTGTTGAGTAGAGCGTGTGGACATGAAGCTTAGAACTTACATGAGGAAAAAAATTAGGTTTCCTAATGTTAGACCTGGAAATTTTGAATAATGCTTTTAATTTTAACTTGAACGGATTAATTATACTGTTTCCGTTTTAATTTAAAATTTCACTTAATAGTTATGGATCTGTGAGTCAAAGCAGAATGAAAATGTTAAAAACTTGTGTGTATTTCTTTGGGGTTTTAAGTGAGTTTTCATCTAAGTTGATAATATATGCTTATGGTTTTTTATACTTTTCAGTTGGCTGCGCGCAAGTGCCCTGAATGTAGACAGCCACTGCCTGAAAGCTATGCACCTCCTTCAGATGAACCTTGGATGACTGGGATCTTTGGATGTGCAGAAGACAGAGAAAGTTGTAAGTTGATGCATGACCAAGCTCTCAAATTGTACTGGAATTGGGATGTAGCTAAGATCTAGTCTAGATTAGTAAACTGACATTTTGGAATGGTCATCATGTTAATAGTCTCCAACGTGTAATTTTTTGCCGATGTTAATGTTTCCAGTTGATGTGATTTGAACTTGGTTATATAAGGCTAGAATCATTAAATTTAACACTAACTAGTTGGTGGAAAATAAAGTAAAGAGTGAGCGTTAATATCACATAATATTTCATTACACACTTCCTTTGACCAAGTTATTCTCCTACTATCAAAATCTCTTCAATATTTTATTTGCTCAATTGTGGTTGGGCTAGGCCAACATACATACGTTTGTACATATGGCTGTGGAAGAAGTTTGCACATTATAGCGGAGAAATGCATCCTTTTACATTTTTTCTGCCTTCATTGCAGGCTTGACTGGACTGTTTTGTCCTTGTGTATTATTTGGGCGCAATGTAGAAAGTTTGAGGGAAGACACTCCTTGGACTGGGCCATGCATTTGTCATGCCATTTGTATTGAAGGTGGCATTTCTCTGGCAATAGCAACTGTAGCTGCAACTTCCATCTTTCCTGGTATTGACCCAGGGACTGTATGTCTCATTTTTGAGGGTTTATTTTTCACATGGTGGATGTGTGGCATTCACACTGGTCAAGTGCGGCAATCCTTACAGAAGAAATATCACTTGAAGGTACATCTATTGAAAATGTTATTCATTAGAACTAATAATCATCATTAAATGTGGAATAGTGTATGTCAGGTATCCCTGGATTGAGAAGTATTCTTCAGCTTACTTCACATTTATAATATAGAATTGCCAGGTTGAAAATAATGTCCTTCTGGAGCCTGTTCCGTTACAAACCCTATTTCCATTTTCTTTTTGAGCAAAGTAATTTTGTGCATACACATTTTGAACTACATAATTGGAAAGGGAAAAAAGACAAACTTGCATTCGGTAATCTAAGTATCTAACCATGAGAATTTGAGAAACTTGTGGCATTGTCATATCTTTTTCAAGGCTACAGCCAATGATGTCCATGTGTTGCATGTCATGTCTTGCCTTATCTGGTTCTGGTATAACTGGTGGTTCTGCTCTTTCTTGTTTTTCCATGATGGCCTTGTCTATAGGGAGAATATCATATTTTATGTCAGTTTTGAGAACAGAGCCATCCATGCTATGCTAGAGGCTTTATTTTCTTGGGAGGGGAGGGGGTACCAAGTGCCAAATTAACATGGAGTAGTGGAGAAATTCAGAGGGTCAAATTTTGTCCATGAAGCATTTGTTGTGTTTCCAAAAAGAATATTATACATTCATGATTTTGCTAATTTTTTCTCTGATTTTTTCTTTTATTCCTCTGATTTTATGCGTGAAACTTGTTTTTAATTTAAGGCTTGCTTTACTTATTTTTTATGATTGCAGAATTCACCGTGTAATGCATGTTGTGTTCACTGCTGCTTGCACTGGTGTGCCTTGTGTCAAGAACACCGGGAGATGAAGGGACGGCTCTCAGACAATCTTTTTTCAGAAATGACCGTTGTAAACCCTCCACCCACTCAGGAGATGAAGTCTACCGATGAAAAGGAAATTCCTGAAACTCCTGAAACATCCTCAACTAACAACAACGAGCATACTGACTTGGAGATTCAGGCTATATAAGAAGGCATAGCATTGTTAATAGTGGGAACTGAAACTTTATTAAATTTTTGGATAGAGAAATTTCTCTTTTGACCTCTGACAGTTTGGCTTGAGTTCTTTCTTCCTGTTTCATCAGACGTGTCACAAGGAGGTGTATCACATATAGATGACTCTTGTCGGCTTTAGAGAGCCAAATTTTACCGAATCCCTTATTTTTGAATTTGTTTTCCTGCTTCACCCTTAACCCACTTTGCAAGTGTCTATCTTTTGTTTTCTTTTTCATCATTTATTTTCAACTGTCAAGCTTCATTACAGATGTTAAAAGCACAAATTTAGTAATAAAAAAAATCAACCTCTCCGATGATGTTCAATCAGGCAGAGAATAATGAAATAAAGAGACATCCTTATGAATGCGCTGTTTAACATAGGGATTTCATTTAATATTAAAATGTTAGTTTTGCCGCTTATATATGTTGAATTTTAATTGAGTATATGAGTGGTAAATACCAATTTTTTATTTTTTTTTATAGTATTGATACAAAGAGTGACATGATCATATATTAGTAAAACTTGCCATGTTACTAAGAAATTTGGAGAGAGCATAGTTCTTGAAAAATTTTGAGATATTGCCGCACTTGAAGCAAAACCACACAAAATGCTAAAGATAATATAAAAAGAGAATTTGAAAATTCAACTTACTTTGAAAAGTTATTCAAATTGGGCAAAATCTTTTTTGAAAAATGAACATTAGTTTGAAAGGTAAATTTTTTTTTTCTCCTATTGTTTTTGTCTCTTATTTCACTTCACAGTTTTCAGCAATTTACATATCTAAAAAAAATATAGATAAAAGAAAAGAAAAGAAAAAGTAACGTTAGATACACAAAAACATGTCTTACAAACTTTTTATGTGTGAGTTTTATTTAGTTGAAGAAAAAGTAGTTATTTTTTGTTTCCACGATGATGATAGATAATAAAACTATTGCATCTTTCTCCAAAATATTTGTCAATTGTTAGGCATTTTAAATTTTTTGTCTAACTCCAATGTAATGCAATTATTGTTAAGTGGGTAGGTTGAGGCTTGCTTAGGTTAAATGCTAAAAATAGATTTTCATATCTTTTTTATTTTTATTTTTTTTGTCAAAAAGTAAGTTTGTTAGTATATGTGTACATTAGATTTAAGTAAAAATTTAATTCATTCCTTTAAAGTTTTTGGTCATAAATTTATAGTTGTGTACGAATAGTTGCATCTTATATGCTTTTCTTTAGAAATTATGGGCATAAATAAGAAAATTGTATTAATCTAGTTAAGAAAAGTTTAGATATCAAGGTTGATGTGTCTAATTTTTCTTAACCAATTACAAACATGAATAGGGAGTTGGCTTCATAGGTTGGTCTTATTAGGGAAAAGGTTCAACCTACAAATAAAGACTCTTCTTTGAATTCTAATTAGCAAATATTTTACTTCTAGATGTTAGTCAAGAGGTTTCTAAAAATTAGGTCATCCTAAATCTGTAATTTTCTTAAATCACACTAGTAAAGGAAAAGATACTTCCTCTAAGTCTAAATTTAAAATTATGGGTGACTTTGAAATTGAACCTTCACATGATATTTCTAATCCCAAAATTTAGATTAATTCTTAAATTGAGGGTAATGAGAGAATTAAAATTTAGGACTCTCGTAGTCTTTGTAAATCTGTTGTTAAGAATTATGTAGGATCTAAAAATGACAATCAATCTAAAAAGGTAGCAAAATCCAAACCTAAACTCATATACAAGAAAAGTGATAATATTAAAGGTGAACTATTCTAATCAAAGACTCTTGATAGGAATGCTCATATTATAGATAAACATTACAATAGAGTAGTTTAGGTTACAAAAGAACTTAAGTAATAATTATAGTGAAAGAGTTTCTGTTCAAGATTTATTTGGGATAAATTTAGACAGTAAATGAAACCTTTAAGTTAGCAAGGAAAAAGAGCTTAAATATAAGGCCTCAGACTTTAGCTTAGCCATGGAAATTAACAAATCACTAGATAAAGATTTTAAGAAAAATAAATTAGTTGAGTCTTTTGAGGAACCTTTACATAAAAATATAATATCTATAGACAATCAACATCTTCAATATCCATCTAGTTTTCATTTAAAGTTCTAATGAATTTTATTTTCTTTTGAAATTGTAGAGGTACAAGTAATAAGACTCTTTCTAAATTAGTTAATGACTTAATTATTATGTATAATATTGATTTTATTGCTTTGTTTAAACTTGAAGTTAGTAAGAAAAATTTCAAATCAATTATTAGAAAAATTAATTTAGATGAGTCTACTAAAGTGAATGTCATTGAGTTTTTAGGAGGAATTTGGTATTTATGAAATACTAATATAGTTAAATATTTTGTTATTTCAAAATCTAAATTTTTTTATCAACCTGAAAGTTAGTAACTATGGTTATAGGGGATTGATTCTGTTTGCTATTTATGCAAGTCCTCAAGATTATTTCAAAAGTGAGTGTTGAAGTTAATTGAGATAGTGTGTGAATGTGAATTTTAACTATTTGGTTTATGAAAAAGAAAAGTATAGAGGAGGTCTTCTATAAGACAATTTGTGAACTGTTTGGATAAATATGGTCTTCAAGATTTAGGTTTTAAAAGAAACACTTTTACTTGGCAAATAAGTGTTCTTAAAGAAAGGTTAGATAAAGTTATAGTTAATGATTCTTGGAGGCTTGTCTTTCAAAATGACTTTATTATTCATATTCTTATTCTCAAGTATAATCAAGTTGCTTTGTAGCTTCGTATTAGAAATAAGAATGCTATTTAGAATATTAAAATCTTTTAAATTTCTTGCCCCTAAAGTTTTTACTTTGATTTCCAAATTAAGTGAGAAACTCTTGAAATAATTCTTGTTCTTGGTCTAAATATGTTTATAAATTTAGGACATATTTCTAAATAAAATAAGTCCACCTTTGATGATATTTTTAATAGAAAATTATTTTTTAACAAAATTGAATGTATTTCTTATAAGCTTGCCTCTAATAATAATAGTTTTCTAGATAACCTTATGAAATAGTTGTGGAAGATGTACTATAGTTGATCTTGGATAAAGAGGAAACCTATTGTATCATCATTTTAGAACTAAATGGATTATTTTAGAAGATAAAAATTTTAAATTTTTTTTCCAAAAGCCACTTTTTTAATGTTTAATAATTCTCAAAATGATTTGTATGTTTAGGTTCTTAAAGTAAAGTATAAATTTAGACTAGGTTTTCATTATTGAAAATTCTGAGTTATGTTCTTAGATTTGGAAAGGCTTTAGTCTCGACTCGGCCTTGATAAGTGTCAGGATTAACTTACCACCATGCATACAATTAAGGGAGAAAATTTCGTTGAGTTAAAGGACACAACACATCCAGTGAGTAAGAAAGAGTTAACGTGCATAACATGACGTTAGCTATGTAGATATTTTTATCATGAAAGAATCTCAAACAACAAGCATATCAAAATCATTATATTCTTTCAAATCAATAAATCTCCCCCTTATCCCTTGTTTTTCTTAATTAAACAGTCACAATCATATAATAATCATATGCAAAGAAAATGGTTCATCCCTAAACCAACAACACATGCAGCTGTACTCAAATTTACATCAACCATTCCAATGCCAAATCTGATCAATTTAAGATGAACGTAAATTCTAGTGACACATTAAAGATCAGTATTTTAATTGCCTATAAATAGTGGATGTTGCCTTTACAAGTCATTCAACATTTGCACTTAAGATATTCTCATCATCATAAACACAATTCTCAAGAGGATTTCTAAATGAACTCAATGCTAAGTCTCAATTGAAGACTTTAACTTGATTTACAATAATATAAAACATCTACACCAAGCTTAATATAAACATGAAAAGGAAAATAAGAGTCATACGAAAAGGTGCATTCATGCATGTAAGCTAATGTATGTTTATATATGCATGTATATCATACTCCAAACGTGCAAATATAAAAAATCAAACCAAATAATTTGCAACAAAAGATAATCCCACCGATGCAAGTAAATAATCTCTTATTACAACGTCTATCACATCTAAAACAAAAAAAAGACCCATCCTAGGAGCAGTCCCAAATCCATGACATAAAGTAAAAGTTACAAAAAATTCTCTCCAATGGAATGGAGTCTTCATTAGGATCGGATTCCACTCCATCAGAGGATAGCGACTCGTTTTAGGCTTGACTTTGAGGAGAAAGTGGCAGCTCATTGTCACTATCCAACCAGCCAATCATAGGAGGTGGTGAGCAAGACATAGATTGAGGTGCCAGGGGCGATGGGCGATGTATGGAGGGTCCCACTTCATTAGAGGGCAGAGAAGATACTCTTATTGGGAAATAGGCCACTGGTCAAATGAAGGACTCAACGACTTCAATATCTTTCCATTCAGGTTCAAGGATAGAGTGTGGATCAGTATCCATAAGGGCCTTACTTGGGTTCATTTGTTGGTTAAGGGTTGGGGTTTGGTTTAGAGGCTACAAGTAAGGAGCATATGAGGAAAAAGGAATGTGCCACTCTGACTCCGGCAGGGGAATAAAGATCTCGGCCAAAGTTTTATCGTTCCAAAATAGTTTCTAGCCCTTTTCAGTCACAGGCCCCACGCTTATGGTGATTAGCCCCTTGTAGATGCGTCGATGTGTCTTCAGTTCATACATCCAAACGTCCTTCTAGCTGGGTAGAACCCATATCTTAGCCCAGTCAATACACATGAAATAGGTGCATACATATAGAACAAAGGAAAGGAACAATTCCAAACCAAAAATATAAAATAAAATAAACTAGAAGGTGAGTCCAAAGGTAAAAAAAATAATCAACAAAGCATTCACAACAAATATATTACAATGGTGAAAGTAATAAAAAATTCACATTTGCCGAATGAAGGAATATCAATATAGATATTATGCGGTAAGTTAAATATGCACACAAATTTTAAAGGAATGCTGAATGCAATGCATGTCGTTTGTCTTACTCTTTTCATCCTTCGTTTGATTTCATCATTCCTCCAGTCAAGGCGGTCTCATTCCTTACTACAACAAGCGCAAAATTATTATTAGTTTATTCATTATCCCATGTCACAAGGCGTCTTTTAGGAATGAGCTTTGTAACACTCTAAAAATTATCTCATTTCCTATGTGTCAAATTTAGAATTTAGAATTTTGTCTTAATTAATTTTTTTAACATTCGTTTATGTCTAAATTTTGTTAAAAATATTGATATTTAAGAACTTGATGAACTCACATTACGTTAAAAAGAAAATAAAATTTTCCTCTTTTTTATCTTAAATTCCCTTAGTGATTATATATGTGCACACCTAGTTTAACATGCAACTAGATTTTTTTCTCTCTTCTACAAAAGTTGCAGTGGATATTATTGTCTTCAAGTCCCCATGTTCATCTCCTCATTCATTCTTATTTTGGAATTTAATCTTCAATGTGTCAAGCTGTCCCTTAATTCCTTTCACGTACACATTGCTGCACGAATGGCAAAGAAGGTTCTCCTCTTACCCAATCTCTGCATGCTAAAAGCTAATGTGGCATTCCATTTGAACCTATACTTGTGATCCACTTCCATTTACATCTCATCTCAAACAATCTTCAACCATGTACAAGAATACATGTAGCACAGATTTTTCAATACTAATTTCAACATTATAACATCCAGATTTGGCAATTAATAGACCTTACTTACCTGCCCTTATGACGTGCCATTCTTTGCTGTTGCACGACATATTAAATTCTGCATGAAAAGACCAATTGCTGCACCTCTTTCTTACACCTCATGAAAAGGAAGTATCCTTATCATCCACGCCATTTGAGTGGCTTTGAAATTGCAACTGAACGGCCCCCTTTGTTTTGTCAAATCAAGCGTTAATGCACTTTAAAAACTCTATAAAATGTATACCATCGAAATCAAGCAAACCAAAGAAAAGAAATAATTGAATACTTTTTGCATATATCTAAGGAATAATCTATGTAACTAACTCTTGGTTTCCTACCTCAAAAGCACATAAATTTTAGACCTTGTTCCCTTACTTTCCTTTCACTCTTCTTCTCCGTTTTGCACTTAGTTTACATTACTAGAAGGGGCAAGTTAAGGGCAGCACCTAGGATTATAACATTCAAGTTCTTGTCCATATCCTTTTCATGAAACTTTCACTATAAGGTAAAAAGGGGTCCAAAATGTGTAGATTTTTTGTTTAAAATTTTGTTGCATGTTGGTCGAATCCTTATTGTATGATTGGTGAAGCCTTGCTGTGTGGATCTTGTTGTATGATCAGTTGAGTTTAGTTGTATGGAATCTAGTGAAGTTGTATTCACAGAAGAAAAAGGGGGAGGGTGAGCCATAATGCATGAAGTATAAACAAAAATAAGTACATAAAAATATATATATATATATATATGGGCGTCACACAAAACTCAAAAACCTCACTAGAGAAAATTTTAGAAACTTTGATATGAGAAAGGATATAGTGTGATGTGTCATTTACAGTATAGGGAGAGACCAAGCTGCTGAGAGAAGAATGAATGTAAATGTCAAAATAGGTTGTGATAGTATGAGTAAGAGTCCCCTATAATAAAAGCAATACACATAAATTTCTCTTTAAATCCTTGTTAGTGGTGACGTGAATGTCACTTATGGTGTAAAATGAGCGTATCTCATAAATAAGATAACTAAAGGAGTAGTATACTTAACTTGTATTTGTATTTACTCTACATGATTGATGAACTAATATTTTGTTGTTTATGAATGATATTAATATGTTGGATGACTGGATTATTTATTTGTGATAAATTAAGGTTCAAAACTCAGAACTTGTAAAAAAGAGATGGTGAGGCCAGTTGGCAACTACAAATTAGTTTTTCCCCTAAACCTTATACAAAAATGAGAGCCTACTACAAAGAGTTTAGTAGAGCGATTAATGTAGAGAATTGCATTCAATAATAAGACTGAACCCAAAAGGAAATTAGAATCTGCCAATAGACCCTAAGGACCTAAAGTGTAAATTAAGATAATGTGCGAGACAAACAAATGAAATGGAATGTATGTCAAATTCACTTAAAAATTTTAATTGAAAGGTGCACGTAAATGCGCTCATAATCAAAAAATAAGAAATTAATTATTGTTATTATTATATACACCCCATTTGCTGTGAATAATAAAAAGAGTTGATGCAATTTTGTGAATTAAGGGATAAATCGGGGAACAAACTAGAGTGTGAATGACTAGTGCAAGACCTAAATAGAAATTATCCCCTGGATATAGGCAGTGATGGAATGATGAAAAACACAAAATTAATGAGGTACTAAGACCGTGACATGAGCTGACGAGTAAAAATGAAGTAATAAAATAAATCCTTAGATAATTAAGTATGAGACCTAAAAGAAGGAAATAAAGGAATAACTAAATTAGTAAAGAGAGAAGGAAAGGAAATGAAAATTTGACAAAAACCCAAGTATAAATTCTCATATTTTATTTATCATCCAATTCAACGTTAATCATAACACAATGGTAAGAAGAGTAGTGGTAAATCAAATTTAAAAGTTTTAGAAAATATAATCCATCCTAAATCAAAAGTTCCTCTACAACTAAACCTTAACTAATAAACTAATAAATAGGAAGTATTACAAAACAGTTCGATCATGTGAAGTAATATATGATAAATACTCTTCGAGTAAATAGAGACCCCAGGACCCAAGCACAATGGGAGTTAGGGACGTAATATATCGTGAGAGTAACAAGTGATAACTTAATTTTAAATAACCTTATAAAGAGACCCATTTCAGTGTACTAGTGCCGTTAATCAGCAAATGCCTACAAAATCTATTTAAGACTCAAGAAATCAGCCATGCATCATACTCATAAATGAGAAGACAACTTGTCAGCACAGCTATGGGATGTCTATGTTAGGATTAATGATGAACTTTGGGAGTGGTAAAGGAGGGGATGACCCAATGGTGCAAAGTAGCTCACCGTGACTGGGTCACGTCGCCAGCAAACCCTTGCCAAACTTGACATAAACACCTGTTAGCAAGATCGTAGTAAGCCCATTCCTGAACAACACTCTTGAAGTGTGAAATTGGTTAAACGTTACAAGTTTCAAAAGTGTTAGATGTGATAGTAGGGAATAGAGTCCTCCGATCGCCTTAAGATTGAGAATACTATAAATTAGATGGAAAGATATGGGATCTCATGCATTGCATGATAAAAAGAGAGTAGTTAAACAAAGAGAAATTTTCCATAATCCATTTGCATCATGCATCATTTCATCCATAATATAGATGTTTCTATTTACATTTAAATTAAGTGCATCAATAAAGTTCTCATGAATATGAATATATAAATATTTGATGCGTGTTACCTTTTGTATACCTATGACATATCTTGCTTGGAATTATGGACTCACCCTTTTCTTTCTCTTTTTTTCTTTTCTTCTTTCCTTTTTGGATGTGTGTTTGCTTGCTCAGTGTGTTTTGGTATGTATTGTATGCAGATAGGCTCTGACATGATCAATATGTCAGTTCTTCCGACAACGGACGACCTTTGGATTTACGATGATGCCACCCAGTAGACTATCTACCAATGATTCACTAGGATGACACTTGGATCAGTCATTGAGACAGGTTGGGAAACCCGCTGCATTACGAACTTGCTCGTTGAGATCGTTTTTCTCTTACCTTTGTATGCTAATAGTATACCATTTCCTCTTATTGTACCTAGGACTGCCCCTACTCTTATAGACATTGATGTCCTCGTCCATCCACCTGTTCAAAACAGTACCCCCAACTCTCATATACCTCGGCCCTCTTCCCCTCCTTCTGTTGAGCTTGAGTATGTTGATATTCAAGTAATTGAATCATCTGTTAGACCTCGCCCTCCTACTCCACCTCGTCGCCTGTCACCCATTGATGAAACTGAACCTTCACAGCATAGCCCCTCACCACCCTTGTCCTCTCCACTCTCCCGTATACCCCCACCTACTCTCGATTGGCTGGAAGATGTAGATGAAGACCTGCCCAATCTGCCTTTTGACCCAAATGCATCATTATCCACCTCACCAAACTCTAATCCTTCAAAGAAATACACTCCTCTGTACTGATAGTGTTATATATATATATATGTGTGTGTGTGTGTGTGTGTTTTCTTTTGTATGATGAGGCTGTTTTGGGAAGGGACATAGGCATAATAGTTCTTTTACTCTTTTTGCAAACTTGTTTTAACGATGAGCCTCAGGTGTTATTAGTATTGTAGATTTTATTTAGTTCTTTGGTTATGTTGTGTTGATGACTATACTTGGTTGTTGAACTTGTCCAGAAAGTAATGTGGAGACATCTTCAAATATTTATATCTTGTCTAGTATTACTTTTATTTTTACTAATTGGTTCTTTACCTTTATTAATTATTTAAATCATGTACACCAACTACTATACTCCCATATGTGCGAGAAACATTACGATTGAATACCATGTCATTAGATATACATTCATTGTACTTGAATTTGTGATGTTAGAATGTCACAAGCTCGCTACAACCCTAGTAATGGGTGTCCATGTCGGAATTAGTGAGGTCTTACTAGTGACGTGACCCAACCGTGGTGAGTTACTCTGCACTATTGGGTCATTCTCCCTCACCACTCCCAAGGTCCTTCCATAAACCTAAATACAGTCATTCCACAATTGTGTTATACTATTGTCTCGACCCTCCTCCTTCTCCATATGTGTGATACGTGATGAATGTTCAACCTGATTCAATGTTTCTATTTTACAATATATACACTATTTTACAACCGCAATTATAGTTGAAACATATTTGTTTTTTGTCTAAGTTGTTCCGTCAAAATTTTGTGTATTTAAACATATCAGATAATCACTAGCAGAAATTCATTCTAAGTCTTTCTTAATTTAGCATTATTACACTTTTATTTAATTTATCTGAAAAACCTAGGGTATTTCATCTTATTAATTCTATTATTAGATACTATTGAACTACCTAATTAAAGTAAAATAGGGTTAGGTTCGGTTCTAAAAAGTGTCGTTCGGCCTGCAGATGTTAGGGTACTCTTGGTCCTTTCTAAATTTTATGATTTAGTGGCAGTTTCATTACTTCTAATTGAGGTGTAAAGGTGCAGTGTCATCTTTATTTAAATTGTTATACATTAAGGGAGAAAATACTCAAATTGCATAATTAAAGTTATGTCAAAATAGCAAACTACTCATCGTTAGAGGATATTAAATCATACAGAATACAAAATTGTGGAGAAAACTTAGGTTGTAAAGGACTTCCATTGTTAGCTAATCATAACGAGTATTTCAATAATAGAATGCACAGACTATAATTATGAAAGTACTTTGAAAACTGAAGTGGAAAGGTTACAACATGGTTTCTGCCTTTGAGGATGCATAATCCTTATGTCAAGGCATGTAAGTCGGCATGTAAGGAAAATAGCAGAAAATCTCACTATTATGTAGGGCTTTCATACAAAATTAGACTTAAGTTTTATAGTACAAAATATGGTAAATAACATATACACAACCATTAGTGAAAGTTTAATTATCACAAGCTATATTTTAGAAATGCAGAATCAATAGAAAATGGTTAGAAATGGAATTATTTATATATAAGATATTGTAATCTAAAGTATCAAGACATTGGTCTACAATATATTTGTAGGTTGGTTCAAATTAGTAAGAAAATGTGTACGTGTCGTCTTTGACACATGACACATAGGGGAAAAATAATTATACAGAAAATGATGTTTGACATAAGGTTGCAAATGCAACTAATTCAAGCCATTAAATTTACACATCCATTCAGATCTATTAGCATACAATCCACACCAGAATTTTATATTCCATGCTCAAAGTAAAGAGAGTGCAGCAGAGAACATACCAAGTGCAAAACATAGAAAATAAATAATTCCTAAAGGTTCACTAGCAAGATGCTTAGAAATCACAAATAAGAATTTAGTTCAGTACACTTGCAAGAGGTTTCACCTTGAATTTGACAGAAAGAGGAGAAGTATCAAAGAGAAAAATTATTAACTAAATCTTCAATAAGCATATAGGTGGATGTAATGCAGAATGCAATCTCGACCTTTTAAAAATGGGCAAAAAGATTTAGTTTCAATAATAGTTTTCACGATGTGTCATTAATTCTTAGATTTTGCAAAAATGGAATATCTCTTAATAGTGGCAACATGCAGGTGATTTAACCAAAATAAATTAGATAGAGCAATTCAAACAAAAAAGTGTATGCCAAGTTTTATGTCAAGCTTTCTACACCTACACATTTTAGGCTAATTATATGCAAGTGGTATCTATGCAAGATGACGAGAAGTATAAACAATTTTAGAATTATTGTTTTCCTAATCATTCAAACGGCTCATAGTATAGAAAATTAGGAGATCACGTGCATGCACACATACAGAATCATAAATCTAGGGAGAGGGGATTACAAAAAAGGTAGGAATAAAGATTAATACCTCATCATCCTCTACATACACCAACTTTCACTGAAATTGGTAATAGCAATTTCATAAAAGAAAATGAGGGAAGGACTTAGGCAAGGCAATAATAAGATGCAGTAACATTACATACTCGGTTGGGCATCATGCAAATAATCAAAACTCAGTTCTTTTACTTATTAAATTATTCAGAGAAATAAAGAGTCAAGAAGAATGCCATGCATACTATCTGATCGTGCATCATCCACTCTCAGCTACAAATTCTTTGGACTCCCCTCTTACCTCGGTTTGGCCATGTAACATAAGTGGGAAGAGTTCCTTCTTATGTAAGGTAACAATGGGGTACATTTCAAGTAAAATTATCTAGCTCTTGATTTTTCTCTCTCACACAAATAGTTTTAAAAAGGTTTAAATGAAATGGAGTGACTTGCCTTTTATAGGCGTTAGTGGTGAGAGTTGGTATAGGAGAAATTAATGGTTCAACCTTTTCTTCCAACGTGTATTAGTTTTGTTATTAAGGGGGTCATTAAGAAAAACAGCAGCATTAACCCTCCACTAACAACATGAATCTTCCACTAATACGCGTCTTTTTCTATCTTTTACTCTACAAATCGTGTGCCTCATTTGCTCCTCTCCCAAACCATTAGTCCCTTACGCCATTCTAAGACTATAGTTAATACAATAAATACAAACATCATAATGGGAGCGTTTAGCAAGGCCATTATTCCAAAGGTGGTGTCATTTAATGGAAAGGAACTAAGTGGAGTTTTTAATGCATACTTAACGATCTTGGGTCGTACATGAGTTAAGGAGTGACTAGTGATTAGTGCCATCTACTTGTGCATTTAAGGAGAATACGGTCAACTGTACAATTTAAGTATGAAGGTGTAAATGCATTCCTGTCTTTTGGAATCTCAATGTAAGTTGAATATAAATAGGAGGGTAAGCAGATTTTGAGGGGAAGTTTAAGAGGCATACGAACAACGACAATAACAATTAATAAGATTTCAGAGTGACTCATGAAATGTCAAAGGTTAAGAGAAAATAATGTATTTTGAGTCTAACAATCTTAACTTATAGGAGTGCATGGATCATTAAACATAAAAGAAATGTGGGTAGGTGTTTTTGAGTGGAAAAAGAGAGAATTATTCGTTTACAGCTCACATAATTCATAAAGGAATTTCCTTTCTCTCTCTAGAATTGATTTAAGGAACAACTAACACAAGTATAGTTAAATTAACATTCTTCAGCGAGGCCTGAAAATTAAATAAAAGGGAATGTGGGCCTACAACACTTAAATAGGAAAAGTCGAAAGGTTGTTGAGATGGGAAAAATAATATTCATAGTATATCTATAGAACAACTCTTTTCAAGAGTAAAGAGAGTAGACTAAAAAAATAAAAGGAAAGATTAAATCTTAATACTCACGTGACACAAAACACATTCAACATACATTCAAACACTTATCCAAGGACATGCAACAATACATCAAATAAAGAAATTACAAGTATACCACCTAATTAAACAGAAAATAGAAGAATTATAAGAAAAAAAAAAAAAATTCTCCTACAAAATGGGACATGTAATGTAGGATAAAACTTAGGAACATACTAAAATTTGAAGATGTTGTGAACACTAAAATTTTGATTTAATTTTTTTTTAAATAAAAATGAAAAAATAAAAAAATAAAAAATCTGAATTTTAATATTACAAAAGAAGAATGGAATCAAAAGGTTTAAAAAAAAAATTTGTCTTAATAAAATAGAAAAATTTCAGAATTAATTTTTAAAAGGAAAATAGAATATGACAAATAATTAAATTCTTAAACCAATGTTACTTTATACATAAAAAAGGAAAAATTCAGAATTTTGGGCCTTTTGGTGAAAACCCTAACAATAAAAGGAAAAAAGGACCATGGAGTAAGGGGAGACATCAGAGGAGGCTAAAATTTTTTTGAGAGGAGGCATTCTAAAACGGAGAGAGAAAAAGAGAAAATAGAGAGAAAGAAAGGTTAATGGAAAGGAGGAAGAACAAGAGGCAAGCAAAAATTTTCAAGAACATCAAGTAAGCTTCATCATACATTTTACACATTTTTCTTCTTCATACATATTTATATTTTGAATAAACATTTCCTATATCAAATCAATCTCAAATGAAAAAAAAAATTATTTTAAACCACCATTTCAAATATTCATGTCTCACCACCTCTCCACCCATTCCTCCATCTATCATCATCCACAAACACAAAACTCACCACAAAAAAACTCTTTCCCTACCTTGTCTCATTCCTCTTCCTTTTCCTCTCAATAACCTTCACCACTCAAAACCATGGCCTCCATTAACCTCACCTCCACCCTTTCATAACCTTTTTTTTGTTTTTCTTAGAGAAAAACACACCCCTAATCCTAAAGTCCTTCCCTCTCAAATCTGAAAATTTAAAATTTGAGACCATTTTATCCTTTTTTTATTTTTTTATTATTTTTTTGTCCGATTTTTTTTTATCATTATTTAGTTCAACATATAATTTATTGTTTTAGTTTTATTTATTTATTCATCATCATTATTATTTGTTATTATGATAATTATTAATTTATTTAATGAATGAGTTTTTATTATTTATTTTATTTTTTTTATGTT